CAGAATCAGACCTGAAGTTATTTCATATATTGGAATTACCAGGTGCTAAACATAAAACAAAGCAATTTTTTTTTTGTAGTCCAGGCTGGCCTTGAACTTGGTATGTAGCCCATGATGGCCTTGAATTCATGATCTTCCTGCCAAAGCCTCCCAAGTGCTGGGATTACAGACATGTGCCACCACATCTGGCCAAAACAAACAAACAAAATTCTATAATGTGTAAAGAAATAAGAGATTGAAAATATGATCAAAGAATGAGTGAATGTTGGCTCAATGATAGAGCACATGCTTAATAAACACAAGATAGGCAGCATGTTAGAAACAAAGAGCACGGGGAGATAATGTTGAAAACATCATAGAAATATAGCACAAAGAAACAAAAAGGAATAAAATAAGAAAGGCTAAAAAAGTAGTGCATACAGTGAGAAGACAGAATATCCAGTCCTAGTTTCAGGAAGAGATTGTATCAAGATATGGAAACCATGGGCTGGGGATTTAGCTTAGTGGTGCCACGCATGCCTCAGAAGTGCAAGGTCCTGAGTTCGACCCCCAGTGCTGCAAAAAAAAAAAAAAAGATATAGAAACCATACCAGTAATTTATTTGAATAGGAACATTTTAATATAAGGAATTATTATCTTTGAGGGTAGCTAATTACTAAATGGAGCAAAACCAGCTACCACTCCTGGTCCTGGGAGAGGGAACAAGGATCTAGAAACTTAAGAGAATACCTCCTCTCGTCTCTGGCTAGTGTGGGTTCTTAGCCACATGTAAGATGGAAATCAGATGGGCTGATTTTTGAGCCTGTTGATGACCATCACCATTGTTTATCCTTTCCTTCAGGGTTCTCTGAAGAGGAGAGTTGCCATATGTGCTTCTGAGATGTTACTACTTGCTGGGGGGTTCTTGCTGAATTCATATATAAAGTATGAATTGGCAAAGGATAGTTCTTATAGTTTTAACAGCCTTGAGCTTTTAAGTCAAGTAGGTATCAGCTCTGTTAATGTTAGTGGCTCTCCCCCTTTGCTGCTCAGAGCAAGCAGCTATGGGAAGGTCTTGGGAACTCTTCTGGCTGCCAGAGATGGTGGCTCCCAGCAATTCTTCACTGCTCTCCATTGTTCTCTGGCTGCCAACTGTCTTCAGTGTTATCACCCCAGGCTGCTGACAGCTCTTGGCACACTTGCTCTCTGTGTTACCAGCTCAGCAGGCACTACCTGAGACAGACATCACAAATGGGCAGGGATGTCATAAGAGGAGGCTTTTAAAAGGGCTTATGCTGCACAGATTGACCCAGACTGACCTGCAGGATGATGCTTACAGAGGGTGGCCATGGGGAGGAATGGCACCTCTTGAGGACCTGACTGAGGAGGGCTGCAGAGTGGCAGAGTCAATTGTGATGGGTCTGTGACTGAAGCCTGCTGCAACCAAAGCAAGTATCTCCCTGGGCAGCCAGGAGGGGCTGATGCAACTGTGACCCAGCCCTTTAAGATGCCTGGGGTAGCCACTGAATTACTTTTATTACTTTTTTTGGGAGCATCAGGCCTCTCTCCTCGCTTATTCTCTTCAATGCCATATCATAACCTTTGAAGAGAGCTTGTAGTATCATAAAAACATGCAGTCTGCCACTGGCAAAGACACTCCTCAGGTGCCCAATCATAGTGCAGGAGAGACTTGCTGAAAGACGCAGGCAAAGGCTACCTGTGAAAGCCACTGAGGTGAATGCTACTGGACCCTTGCCTGCTTAGTCACAGAAAACAGCAAGGTGAAAGAGGGAAGTACCTTCTTCCTGATCTGTCCTGCTTGTCCCCTAGTCACCTCTCTTGACATAGCCTCTCACTAAGCTAGCTGAAGAAAAGAAGAAATGTTTAGAGTCCAGCTCTAGTGTCACAAAGCAGGTCAGAGAATTTGAATTGTAGATCTGTATTTTCTATATTATGATGAAGGCAGTAGCTGACTCTGCTCATGTGGACCCTTCCTTCCATTTTAGAAACAAATTATCTGACTATTGCAAAGGAGTCTTTGAATATGCCCATGGATTTGGTTAGCTAAGGTTTCATGTCGGATTTTTGCCTGTATGCTTACAAATGAAATTTTGACCATAGGTTTTTCTGTTTTTCTCTGTTTGTGTGTTGTCCTTGTTCATCTCATTTTCTTCTTTTTAAAATGTTTTTGTACACTCTATGTCATATGGGAAATAGTATTTTTAAGTAGATGGGGATTAGGTAGGGGCCCATCAGGACTACATACTTTTATAAATGTTTGCCTTTGTTGTTTTTGTGGTTATGCTCCTGTATTAGGCCTCTAAGAGGAAGGCAGCTGGGTGTGGGATGGCTCAGAGATCTGCTACTAACTCCTTCCAGAACCGGGGGCAGGTCACCCCCTCTCTGAGTTTGCTCATCTATAAAAAGGGGATTGCACTTGTGGCATCTACCTCACCAATGCGATGTGAAGCTGTGGCATGCTTTGTAAATGAGGAACCCTTTGCTCTATCACAGAGGTGACCCAGGCTAGAAGAGTGGACATCTTGGAATTTTACAGATGCTTTTCTATTTGTATTGTTATCAGACTTGTAAACAGGGCCGAGAGGCACAGTCTCATTGCTATGTGCTTCTTATATTTATGTTGAAGGCTTCTTTTATTTTGTTGTTGCTGTTTTTGGTACCAGGGCTCGAACTTTGGGCTTTTTGCTTGCAAGGCAGGCGGCAGAACCACTGAGCTAAATTCCCGGGCCAGAAGGCTTCTTTTTAAAAATGACTTTAAATAGTAAAAGGGTAGTTTACATTATCTCCTGTGAAGTTTTGAAATCTTTTTTCCCACCTACATTTTATTTGCACCACTAATAGGAAGTGAGAGAATGCTAATTTACAACAACCCGAGTTGCCTTTTCTCTTTATTGTGGAAGAACCTTTAAAACCTATTTGCTCAAAGATCTTTGTGGATGTGTTTATAGACCATTTCCCCCCCCCTCCCCAAAAAGCTTTAAACATTAATGATTTTTAATGATTGGGGCTAAGGGAAATAATTTAGAGCAGCTGAGATTAATTTTACTCATTAACAAAAAGCTTGTAAACAAGAATATTGAGTCAAATGAACAAGAATATATTTATTTGTCTCCTCTTCCTAGAACACAAGCTTTCCAAGCACAGAAACTTTGTTTTCGTGCTCACTGTGCATCCCCAGCTCTTAAATCAGACCTGGCACATAGTAGGTGCTCAACAAGTACTTGTTAAATGAATGGATTACGAATATAGGGTAGTTCATTTTCTTGATATTCACAAAGTCTGCATTTTTAATTTTTGGGTTTTTTGGTACTGGGGATTGAACTTGGGACCTTGCGCTTGCGAGGCAGGCAGCGGAACCACTGAGATAAATCCCTGGCCCTGTATTTTTTATTAATGGGATTCATAGCTTATTAATAACTGTTAAATACATGAACATCACTTCTGTGTATGGAGACAAAGTTTTGTGTTTTTTTGGTACCAGGGGAGACTTAAGGTTTTTCTTTCTCATTTTCCTCATTCCTGCCCCTGGCTAAGGTCTTCACTTGCTTCCTTCTAGTGGCTTCTATTTATATCCCTTTTTGATTTCTCATTCTCTCCTCTCTCTACCCTCTATCTATCTATTCCTCTCTCTCTCTCTCTCTCTCTCTCTCTCTCTCTCTCTATATATATATATATATATATATTCCTTCCATCCAGCTATTTACTTAAAAATATTACAGAAAGCACCTACTGTATGCCAGGCTGGAAGAGACAGAGATGACTGGGCTAACACCATCTCTGGGCACATGGAATTTATCATCTGTCAGGGAAGACAGGCATGAGCAGATACTCCACAAACAACTATGCACTTGCAAATCATAGCAAATGCTGTGAAGGCAAGGCTCGGGGAGTATGGAGCTTTAGGAAAGGCTTCCTGGAGGCTGTTTCTTGTGGGACCTAAAGGACAAACAGGAGCTGGCAGATTTGGAGCCTCAGAAAACAGCAAGGGTGAAGGCGGGGGAGGCGAAGGGAAGCTGGGTTTACTGGGAAGCCCAGAGAAACAGGAGTAACTGGAACTCGTGGAGTGCAGTGGAAGGTGGGGTAAGGGCCTCGAGGGCACAATCAGGATCTGCACACACCTGTTCCTAAGTTGTGACTCCTCCTCTAGGGCCTGGCAGAGCCCTATGCTGTGACAGACTGCACTGCTATACTGGTTGCCTGCAGATGGTCTGTGTTTAGATTTCTTTTCTGGATTTGGGTCTTTTAAGAAAAAAAATTTAAAATTCATCAGTAGCTGTGCCTTTGAGCAAATCCTTAACCTCTAAGAGCCTGTTTCCCTAAAAAGACAGTGATTGTGTCTATCCTGGGATGTGTTCTGTGACGTCTTCCCAGTCACCCCATGATTTTCTGTTGGAGGCCTGTCTTTCCTCACAGACCTGAGGGAGGCTGGGCCTAACATATCTGTGTCCTGGCTCCTGCCACTGGGCCTGGCAAGGAATAAGAGGATCTGGGAGGCATTCACAGAAGGGCAAGCCCTAGGACAGGCCTGGAACACAGTCTGGAATTGAGGCTGGGAGAAGGGCTGCAGAGGTAAGGGCACAGAACAGATGTGGTAATAGAAACAGCAGTAACAATAGTACTAACTAAATTGGACCGTTGTCATGTGCCAGATATTGTTTTAAATGTTCGACATATACTCACTTATCCTTTTAGTAGCTTTCCAAAGTAGGTACTATTTATTATCCCCATCTTATAGATGAGCAAACTGAGGCACAGATTAATTGCCCAAGGTCACACGGCTAGAAAGTGTTAGAAACTGGACTTGAGACCAGGTATTGTGGCTTCCGAGTGTAAGAGGCAATGAATGCAGAGAAGTGGGGAGGGTATCAAATGCTAGATGATGAGGGCCATCTGGTCTTTATCCCGTCAGTCACAGGAGCCATGGGAGGCTTGTAAGGGAGGAAGTGCTGAAGCTGTGGTATGCCCAGGAGGCCTGATGGGGCTATGTCTCTCTCCTACAGAAACCACCCACGGAGCAGCCCCTGTACAGCAGCAGCCTGTGGGGCCCCGCTGCTGATGGCCGTGACTGTGTGGCTGAGGGTCTGTGGCTGCCGCAACTACACATAGGGGACTGGCTGGTCTTTGAGAACATGGGAGCTTACACCGTGGGCACAGGCTCCCTCCTCGGGGGGACCCAGACCTGCCACATCACCTACGCCATGTCCCGGGTAGCCTGGTAAGGGGGCCCTGCTGCAAAATGGGGCACGGGGAGGCAAGCAAGGCTGAAGCAACAAGGGAAACCGGTGATCTGAGACCCCCTTCTATGTAATCCGACTTGGCAAGGAGCTCCTACTGTTATGTGAGGCCTATATACCACCTGCCTGGGGCCACAGAGCGGGCTGGGCTTCTCCGAGGAGACTGCATGCAGCATCAGGAGATGCAGATTTGCAGGCAGGCACTTGGGGTGGCACTGTGCTGGGTGGGAGCACAAGCCCTCCCTGAGGACTAGTCCTGCTCCCTGGGAAGATGTGAGGCAGCAGGCAGACGCAAGGAGGGTGGGCAGGGCCAAGTGTGGTATATCTGAGGCATTCATAGAGGTTGGCCTGACTGGAGGGGAAGACAGGGGAGAGAGCTGGGTTCAACCTTAGTGCTGGCACCACTAGGGATGTGGTCACGGGCAAGCCTCTCCTCTCTGAGCCTCAGTTTCTTCATCAGTAAAATGAGGATGGGAATGGCTCCCTCACAGGGCTTTAGATGATGGATGGGAAGTGCCTGGCAGGATGTCTGACTCACTGGAAGTGCTCAATAAATGTGGGTTCCTTTTTCCTGTTGGGAAATGGGGACCACAGGGGAAGCCAGCAGAGGGGACAAGGGTCAGCGGGTGTTCCTTGACCTTGACTGGGCTTAGGTGAGACTCTTGTGCCTAATGGGGCCAGGACCACAGGTACAGGGGCCAAAGAAACTCCCTGTTGTCCCCAAGTTGGCTGCCTTTAGGACCCCTCTCTCACCCTAGGGAAGCTCTGCGGGGGCAGCTGCTGCCTGTGGAACAAGATGAGGATGCTGAGGGTGTGTGCAAGCCTCTGTCCTGCGGCTGGGAGATCACAGACACTTTATGCGTGGGCCCTGTCTTCACCCCAGCAAGCATCATGTGAGCAGGCTCCATTCCCCCTGGACAACCCCAGTGGGGCTGTGGAGATGCCTCTGGGAGAGGTGGGGAAGGTGGCAAGCCAGGCACTCTCTGTCCAGGACTCTGGTGCTCACTCTGCTGCCCCCACGTTCCACCTGTAGTGTTTGTTCCTGCCCTGTACATAGGACTGGTCTTATACCCGCTGTAGTTCAAGTATGCAACATAAATCCTGTCCCTTCCAGCCGTGTCTGCCTTCTCTGCGGCGCAAGGAACCTGGTCAGGCAGGTTTTGCGGTATCCTCAGAGTCTCTTATCTTTCTTTTTTGTAAATATGAAAATAGATATTTAGGGTTTCTAATATTCTAGTGGAATCCAGCAGTTCAACTGACAAAGTGGCCAGAGTTAGACAAGGAGACTTCCCCACTTCACAATGAGCCCATGCACCTGAGCCCGCTGCAGTGTGGGCACCACCTACTCACACATTGTTTGGCTCGCCTCTGTGCTCCTCACAGGCTTCTGAGACTGGAAGACTGGAGTCACGAGAAAGGGTGAGCTGTCAGGGGGTGAGGTGTGGGATCAGAGCGGCCTCTTTTCAGGAGCTCACGACTGGCCAGTGGCCTCTGCGTGAACCCAACACCCAGCCTAAGGCCTGGCCCAGTGTAGGGACAGCTAAGCAATTGATAGAGCTTTGGAAACTCATACTGGAGAGAGAGAGCAAAGGGATGGATGTCTTACAGTGCTAGGGATTGAGCCAGGGGCTTCTAAAGAGAAGGCAAGTGCTCTAGCACTGAGCTACATCCCCCACTCCATTTTTCCCCATGGGAGGTTCTGAGCAGACTCTATATCCTTTCCTTGCAGGCAGGCAAGCAGTAAGAGTACTGCTAACACGTTGTGGTGGGTTTTGCTTCTTTAGGCAGTCACTGTTAGAACAAGGCTGGCCACAGAACACTGCTGTCCAATGCCAATAGCCTCGGTATCCCCTCAGACTGGCAGCTTTTGCTAGGACGAGGGCTCCCTCACACTGCCAGAGCCCCAAGCTCTGCACCCATGCTGCATAAGCAGTCTAGCAAAGGAGTTCAGAATTTTAGATTTCCCCAGATGCTGGAGGGGACCAAATTTTTTTTTCTTAAATTACAAAAATGGAGATACAATTCACATGCCATAAAATTCAGCCTTTTAAAGTGTGGAAGTGAGTGGTTTTCAGAGTATTAGCAGGGTTGTACAGCTATCACCACTGTCAGTATGTTCTAGAACATACTAATTACTCCCAACAGAAGCCCCCCGACCATTGGCAGTCACTCTCCAAGTGCCCTTCCCCCCAGCCCCCGGCAACTCTAATCTACTTTCCATCTCTGGGTTTGCCTGTTCTGGATGTTTACTGCCATGGTTTTTGTATCTTCACTTTTTCTTTTTTTGACACAGGGTCTCATTATGTAGTTCAGGCTGACCTTGAACTCACTGTGTAGCCCAGGCCAGCCTTGAACTCATGGCAATCCTCCCACTTCAGCATCCTGAGTGCTGGGCTCACAGGCGTGCACTACAATGCCCAGCTTCACTTTAGATTTTCTTAGGATAAGCCTGGGTATCCTGCTTTAGCATCCTAGGCAGTCCTAGGCCTGCACCTGGCTTTGAGATAACCAGTTAGGCCATGTGCCATGTGTCTGGAGTGAACTAGGTACTTTTCAAAAGCAAGGGCATTGCCCTTTTTGAGACTGAGTTTACTTTCTGTACTTTGACAAGGAGTAGGCTGAAAGCTCAGGACATCAAGAGACTCAGAAAGCAATCACTAAGGTCATTCCCTTGTCCCTCTGATACCACCCCAAGCTCTGCTTTACAGATATTCCCACATTGGTCTCAGCCCTCTGTGAGACTATTACTGAGCCCTCTTTCACTTCTGATATCCAAGCAGATCTGGACCTACTCACACTTCTTTTTCTTTTTTCTTTTTTTTGTATTAAATTCTTTTATTGGTACATTGTAGGTATACAACACAATTACATTTCTCATTGGGAATTGTACCTTTATATAATGCATCTTGGTTCTTATTTTTTCCCCATTCCTAGCCCTCCCTTCACGCCCTCCACCCTTCCCTATTTACAAAGACTTTATTTCCATTTTTTCCATTTCTCATCATGTTTTCCTTTCCCTTCTTTCCTTTCCCCTGCCCCTCACACTACTCCTACCCCTTTGGACCTTTTCTTCCTATTTTACATTATCGATTATTCATTCTAATAATTGGTACATTTTAGGTATACAATATAATGACATTCATCATTGGAAATTTGCATCTTTACATAGTCTCTCTTGGTTCTTGTTTTTCACCTTTGCCCAGCCCTCCCTTCAACCTCTCCAGCCCTCCCTATTTACAAAGATTTTGTTCCTATTTTTCCATTTTCTCATATTAATCCCATTCCCTTCTATCCTTTCCCTTAGCCCTCCCACTTCCTTCCCCTTTGCCCCTTTTCTTCCTATTTCACATGACCTATTATACATTTAGTCCTTATTTACACTTTCAGTTTCTCACACCAGAGAAACTATTCGGTATTTACACATCTGTGTCCTATTTATTTCACTTAAGAGTATTGCCTCAATGTGCATCCACTTAGCTATAAATGTCTCTAATTTCTCATTTTTTATGGCTGATTAGTACTCCATTTTAGAAAAAAACCACATTTTCTTTATCCAGTCTCCAGTTGATGGGCATTTGGGCTGTTTCCAAGTTTTAGCTGTTACAAACTGCGCTGCTATGAACATGGGTGCACATATATCACTGTGGTATGATTCTTTTAATTGTTTGGGGAAGATCCCCAGCACACACTTCTTTTTCTTGAGAGGAAGGAAGGCAAATACAATTTTTCCCTCTGGAGTTAACATCTGGTATCAAAGGGAGCAGGAGCCCTGGGGCAGGAAATGTGGCTGGGTATGGTGAAGTGCAGGTGTAACTTACTACCTTGCTGAAGGCAGGTCCTCTGGGGAGGGCCCTGTGTTTGGAGTGACGGTGGCGGGCACAGAGCTTGAACACGTATCTCTCTTACTGGAGCCTTACTGGTGTTTCGTGTTCCCTTTGCTGTGAGAATGGAATGTACTTTTCTGAGAAAGATACAGTATATACAGAACCTTGATGTGACTCACTTGAGAATAATCAATAATAGTCATTTCTTTTCAGTTATTTGTTTATTTCCATCTTTTTCTGAAGAGAAGGAAGAAAAGAGAATGAAATGTGGAGAATGGTAAGGGGCTGGGGGCTTGTGTGTGGCAAGCTGAGAAGTCTCCAGGAGTCCTGGCTACACAGAGGTTTGCTCCTTTGGAGCTCCTCCCTAAGATGTCCATCAGCAGTGACCTTCACAGCTCCATCCTGCCTGGGAACCTCACCGAGGGACTTCCTCCTCCCCACACCCACCTGCACTCTGTGAAAGTCCTGGGCTCATGCTTGCTCACTCTGGGGCTTCAACAGACCGGCTACTGCTCCAGATGAACTTCTACTCGCTCCCTCTCAGTGATAGTTCCCCTTCTTCTTCCTCTCCACCCTCACTCAGCAGCAAGAAACTGTCACTCCAGTCTCTATTTCATCAGTGACACTGAAAGTCCTTTCCCAAATACCTCAGACTCTTAGTCTTCCCTCTCTCACTGGTTCTGGCCACACCAGCCTCCTCTCTGTTTCTCACTCCACTTCTGGGTCTGCACTTACTGTCCCTTTTTTTCCAGAACGATCTTCTCTGTTGTGGGGCTCACTTAATTCAGGTTCTGCTCAAATGTTTTCTTTACCTGAAGCCTTCCTGGATTGCCCTTTAGAAAACAATACTTCCCAGTCTTTTCCCCCTTAACTGGTTTTCCTTTTCTTCACAGCCCCTATTAGCATTCAACATACTCCATGGCACGTTTTTCTGTGTATCATCTGTCAGTCCTCTAGCATGTGACCTCCTTGGCAGCAAAAACCTTATTTTTCACTGCTGTGTCCTCATCACCCAGAACAGACCAGGTGCTCAAAAGTATATGTCAAATAATAAATAAACATAGGTCTTAACCTGTCTGAATCTAACTCATTTGTGAAATGTGCCTGTGAAATAATATTTCTCTTGGAGGGTTATTGTGAGGATTAAATAAGAATATGGGTATAAAATACTGAGCCCAGGGCCTAGAATATCACTAGGTGCTCAATAAATGACAGTACAAAGTAATTCCTTTGGTACTTATTGAGCACTTTCTGTGGTAGACACCGGTGAGGGAGAGATGAATTGCCGTGAGTCCTCAAGGACTTCACAGTTCTAGTCTGTGTTACCCTGAAAACTAACTCAGGGTACACTTGGGAAAAATCAGACTTGACAAACTTAGCCCAAATCCCAGGAAAACCTATGGGTATGTAAGATGCTTCAACAGCTCTTTCTAGGTGACCTTGGGGTAGGATCGCCAGATAAAAAGCAGGACACTAAGTTAATGGGGGATGTTTTTTCTTTTAGTGCCCGTATGTCCCATGTAATATTTGGGTTATTCTTACACTAAACCTTACTCACTAAGCGTGATGGCCCATGCTTGCAATCTCCACACTCGGGGGGGGGGGGCTGAGGCAGGAGGATCACCATAAGTTCAAGGCCAAACTGAACAACATAGCGAGGCCCTGTCTCAAAAAACAAAATAGTACTCGTTATTTTAAATTCAACTTTGAAGTGGACGTTCTGCATTTTATTTGCAAAGTCTGGCAACCCTAAATTGGCAAGTTCCTGTACGCTGATAGCCCTTTGGGTTTCCTTTTACCCATCCGTGCAACTTGCCTCGGGAAGTCCTCAGGCGGAGCGCCTCCCCACCCCAGGGGTCCTCCGCTCAGAGTTGCGTGGGAAACGCGCTGGTCTCTACTTTCTCGCTGAGTGAATATAAGAAACCCCTTCTCAGGCCCTTCCGGGTGGTAAATGACGCTCGGAATTACTGGCTCCTTGAACTACGACGGCGAGATTCTCAGCAGTCACAACCCCTACGTCAGGCCTCCAAAGCATGGATTTCCGGTTGCAGGACACTACTTTCGCATCCAAGAACCTCCCAGGATTCGCGCCGCTGCCTCTCCCCCGATTGTGTCCTCTGCCGGCCTGGAGGAGGAACCGACTTTACCAAACTGGAAAAAAACCCTCACAGGAATCCATTGGTTGAAAGATTGAGAGATGTAGCTCCGCCCCCAACCTCTACCAATGGAAAACCGAATCTTCACCCGGGGCGGGGTTTCCCCCGGTGAAAAGGTCATCCGGGACCGGCAGCCGGGGAACGGGGCTACTGGGTTTCTGTCGGGTTTGAAAGGTTGAGGATAGTACCGGAAGAGGGCTTCTGGCTCATGAGCTACTTCCGCTTCCACTTAGAAAGCAGGCGGCTCCTAGAATAGGAAAGTGGAGCGGATCTAAGGAGCCTTGTCTTTGGTGTTCTCAACCATTCTGTACTCAAGGGAAGACCCTGAGTTCAGGCAGAAAATCGGGGCGGGGGGTGGGGTGGGTTGAACGAATTCTTGATTTCTGGGGCAAGACGTGTGTTACTTAAAAAATAAAATTGTCAGGGGCCGGGGATTTAGCTCGGTGGTTTCGCTGCCTGCTGCGCAAGCACAAGCACAAAGACCTGAGTTCGATCCCCAGTACCAAAAAAATAAATAAAAAAAAATAAGATTGTCTACTGTGCCCCCGCATCATGCCCTTCTCTCGCATTATTGGATTTTAGCTACACAACGCTGTGGAGTGAATTTTATGACACGGAGTACAATCCCTCATTGCCTGTTTTGGGATACTGGTTCTGCTGTTATTTAAGTTACTCTCTCTGGCACACCATGTCTGTAAAATGGGATAACTTATATCGTTGTTGTAGGATTAAATAAACATGTATCAAATACCTGGCACATGGTAAACATCGGTAACCACCTGAATTACTTCCATTACAAATTAAGAAATTGAGGCTTAGATATGAAGTGAATTGCCTGGAACAGAGAGTAACTAGTGGAGCAGGTTGGAAAGCATCTTTGCTTAACTGAGGGACCTCAGTCGCTAAACCCACCCAGCCCCTCTTTCTGGGATTAGAGGAAGCCTGTGATGACCATAAATGCCTTGATAGCAGCATATATATTTATTTAGTAGCACCCTAACAAACTGGCCGCTCTCTGAGCATTTTTTTTTTTTTTTTTTGATCGGACTCCGGTCCTTGTGCTTGCGCAGCAGGCGGCGAAATCACTGAGCTAAATCCCCGGCCCTCTCTGAGCATTTTAATAAAGCTAATGAAGGGTATGTTCTATAATTTGTCCCCCAGACTAGGTTTCTGGAATTATCAGAATGGATGGATCCAAGATTCATCTGCTAAATCCCACTGATAAAAAACCAGTAGATTTTTTTGAGACTGGCTCACTATTCAGTTCAGGTAGCCCTCGAACTCACTATGTAGCACAAACTGGCCTCAAACTGGCAGCAATCCTCCTACCTCAGCCT